TGGCTGAGGAATTCTGGGAGTTGAAGTCCACAAGTCTTAAAGTGGCCAAGTTTGGAGGCCTCTGCCTTAAACAATGGAGGGGATTCCCCTGACACTCCACTCCGTCGCCCTCCCACAGTGGGATGTACTGCAACTCCCATCCTTCCTAGCCCAGCCCAGCCAGGGGCAGGGGAGGGGGCTTTGGGGGTTGTGGGGCGGGGGGTCTGCTTCTCCTCACCGTCTGCTCTTCCCTGCCCAGGATCCTGCTGACGGTGGTCGTCATCTTCCGCATCCTGATCGTGGCCATCGTGGGCGAGACGGTCTACGAGGATGAGCAGACCATGTTCATGTGTAACACGCTGCAACCCGGGTGCAACCAGGCCTGCTATGACAAGGCCTTCCCCATCTCTCACATCCGCTACTGGGTCTTCCAGATCATCCTGGTCTGCACGCCCAGCCTCTGTTTCATCACCTACTCCGTCCACCAGTCGGCCAAGCAGCGCGACCAGCGCTACTCCTTCCTCTACCCGCTGCTGGAGAAGGAGGCGCTCTGCGAGGGCAAGAAGGTGAAGAACGTCAACGGGATCTTGGTGCCCAACCCCGACGGGTCCTCCAAGGAGCCCGACTGCCTGGAGGTGAAGGAGATCCCCAGCACCCCACTCAGGCCCCCCAAGAGCGCCAAGGTCAAGCGGCAGGAGGGCATCTCGCGCTTCTACATCATCCAGGTCGGTTGGCACGGGAGGAGGTGGCGCCGTTTAAGGGGAGGACCTTCCGGTTGGGCGTCTTCTCCAGGCCTCCACCTGGAAGGGCCAGCAGAGGCGAAGGAGCGGGGACCAAGGGAAGCTTGGGAGGTTCGGAAGGGGGACCCCAGTTGGTGGTGGTGGGGATCATGGCCAAGAGAAGACGACACTCTTGTAACGGTCTGTGCGAATGGCCTTGGAGACAGGAGGAGGAAGAGCTGCAGGGGAGACAGAGAAGAGACAGCTTAGCCTGTAGGAGGAAAAGGGGCCTGGGAAGCATCTCAGAAGGGAGACTTCGTAGTCCAAAGGGAAGGGGAAGGGAGAGAGGAAGGAAGGAAGGAAGGGAGGGAGGGAGGAAGGGAGGGAGGGAGGGAGGAAGGAAGGAAGGAAGGAAGGAAGGAAGGAAGGAAGGAAGGAAGGAAGGAAGGAAGGAAGGAAGGAAGGAAAAAATGAATGGTGGAGAGGAAGGGAGGCAGGAAGGCAGGCAGGCAGGAAGGGAGGAAGGAAGGAAGGAAGGAAGGGAAGGGAAGGAAGGTAAAAATGGTGGAGAGGAAGGGAGGGAGGAAGGCAGGAAGGAAGGAAGGAAAGGAAGGAAGGAAGGGAAGGAAGGAAGGTAAAAATGGTGGAGAGGAAGGGAGGGAGGAAGGAAAGGAAGGAAGGAAGGAAGGAAAAAGTGAATGAGAGGAAGTGAGGGAGGAAGGAAGGAAGGCAGGAAGGAAGGAAGGAAGGAAGGAAGGAAGGAAGGAAGGAAGGAAGGAAAAGGTGAATGGTGGCGAGGGAGGGAGGAGGAAAGGAAGAGATGAATGGTGGGGAGGGAGGCAGGAAGGAAATGGGAATGAGAGGGGGGAAGGAAGATGGGAGGCAGGAAGGAAGGAAAATGGAGGGAAGCAAAATGAGGAAGGAAGGAAGGAAGGAAGGAAGGAAGGAAGGAAGGAAGGAAGGAAGG